GGGTTTAACTAACTTTAAGCTTCAAGTCTTACTTATTATAAAGATTAAAGACTAATCTTTTTTCTTTCTTCTTAAGTAAGCCGATGAATGATCACGTTCCATTCGCCAAAAGCACGTTGCATCTAGCAGGAGTTGTCGTATGTGTCTCACACGCATATACACATACCATATCCAAAGACATTAATTTGACCTCATAATTGAAGTACCTGAGGGTCCAAGACCATCAAAGTATCGACAATGTGGATTCCACGCATAAATGTCAACCAGATGATCAAATCTGTTCATATGAAAAAAATTACAGAGGTATTCAATAAACAGAGTAAGCCACTTAATAAACAAATAAGGACTTGAATTGGCACAACACCATATCAAAGTATGCGAGACACAACAGTAAAGAGATATCAAGGATCACCTGTCACCTCCATTTCCTTCCCCGTTGTCTTTTGGATTATCACCGTAAAGGCATCCTGGAATAGCATTGCCAATCGAGAAATGCATAATATCAATCTGCAAGCCTAGTACATGAGTCTGTCCCTTCTTTACAAGCACCCATCTTGTGAAGCAGAAGGTTGACATCAGAAGGTTGTTTCATATAAGAAAATTTGAACAAAAAAACTCTAGTCACCTGGGAAACTTACATGGTGATAAAGACACTTGTTGTTTTCACTGGATACAGAAAAGCAAGCAATTCACTACAATAGTGATAGACTTGCATCAAACTCAAAACTTGTATTGGATCCCTTTTTTCACAAAGGTTAGAAGCAGAGACATGTAGTAAAACTTGGGAACAATTGTCAGATTCTATATGGTTGTGATTACAAAAGGAAATTGTGCATTTTAGAAATGTGACAAAGAAAACACACTTAGCCCCATTATCATTCATAAGCGTAATTTCCATCAATTTCCAGCACCATCATGCAATGCCTAGAAAGAGAAATCCAACCATGAAATGAATTAAAAAAAAAAACGCGATTCATCAAAGAGTCTACAAAAATCCCAAATTTCAGCAATCTATACAAACTACAAGTAATTCCCGAACCAGAAAATCGAAAGCAACGCCACAATCAGAAGCATTCTGATTGATTCCGGTGATTACTTATCAAACAGTTGACTGACGAATTTATCAAACAAAAATTTCTCGAGCTTTGACTCTTCAAACGGTAAGCTGTATTTGATAAAAAAAAAGGCCCATTAAAATACAAAAAATGGGCCTGAGCGAGAAAGTTCACAACGATGTCGTATTAAGCTCTTCTTCTTCATGCTGCTGTAAACGCAAGTGAGGCAAAATAACTAGTGCAGAAAATAAACGACACAAGAGAATTTTTACGAGGTTCGTTTCCTACTCCTCGGGACTAAGTACAGAAATCAAATCCACTAGAACCAGAAAAAAAATACAACTAATTTTCAAACGCGTAAATCAAGTACAACTTCTTAATTTACCGCTCTGTTCAATAACATGGACTCTTCAGGATAACCAATCCTGAGCTAAACTCCCCCTGAGTCTAGACTTGAGTTTTGTGGAATCTCCACACACCAACACGCACGGTTGGCAACGGCACACAACCACGAGAAACCTTCTCCCAAACTCACTTGATCAGCTCAAGCAGCACGAACTGGTA